GGGAACCTAGTTACCTGACCAGTCATTTATCCTATTATTCTAAATCTGCTATACTTAACCCGCAGCTCCTGGGCCACATGCTGCTGTTTGGTGACAAGTTGTGGCTCGGATAAGTCCAACTTAACAAAATGAATTACCCCAAATAGAAGGTTAAAAGAGAAAAACATTCCTAGAATGAAAAATGTCATAGCAAGCCACATCCTAGTGTTTTCCTTTACATGGATGTTACAGATATATTCATAGATGCCCAAGTATATATCCGCTGGTCATCCCTTTAGTAAATGCATCGTTTACTGTAAGGTGTGACTTCTCTTGTTAAAACTGAAGCTTCTCATGCCTTTGAAAACAGAGTGACTCATTTGGAAATGCGGTCAGTCTTATTTGAACGTCTTAATTTTGTCAATTGAGCAGAAACACACAAAAATAGCTACGTACTTAGGGAAGACGACGTGGGACAAGGCACTGTGAGAAGGTGCAGTATAGTGTATATATATGTGTGTGCGTGTTTGTGTGTGAGTCTGCTGTGTAGAAAAGAGCATGACCAGAATGGACAGCAAGTGAGATGAGAATATTATAGTCATTTGTGAGACAGATTATAATACATTAGAGATAAAGCACGATTAATATGGTAAATGGACTTGAGCTTGTATAGCGCTTTTCTTGTTTTCTGACTACTCGAGCGCTTTTACACCACGTCACACCTACACATTCACACCCATTCACACACTGATGGCATAGGCCGCTATGTGACCATCAGAAGTAACTAATCCATTCACACACATTCATACTCCGCCGACAAAGCAGCAGGAACTATTCTGGGATAAGTGTCTTACCCAAGGACATATCAGACATGAGGCTGCAGAAGATATATATATATATATATATATATATATACACATAATATTGATAACCTAATCTTTTCTAATAGGGTATGACTCGCATAAATCTCTGTGGCTCTTGCACATGTTTTGATGAGGTGCATCCCAGCATGCATCAGTCAGTTTGTGTCTTGTGCTTTTCGACTCAGCGTTTTTTTGTGTTGCATCATGTTGGTTGTGCTGTTTGTCGTTCATCAGTCTTTTGCAGTATTTACATACTGTTTTCGTCTTGCTTTTAGGAACCCTTTGAAACCGCTTTGAAACAAGATGTCATCTCAACCTCAAATTCTTCTTTTGTGTCCTCCTCGTTTGCCTCTCTTAATCGGAAAAACACTAGGATAAAAGCAGACAGTGCCCTCTCCTGGTTAAATAAAATATTGCACCTTTTTTTGTGTCATCGATTTAAATTGCCCACATTTGTATACATTTTTAATTGTGTTGCAATGTTTGGTAACATCCTTAATCCTTAACATTAAGTTGTATTTAAGTATTTTGTAGCCAAAGATTCCAAAGGACAAATAGGAAATATTTTACAACTCCTGCGAGACTCAAATGTGAAGCAAAAGAATGAAAAGTATTCAGATGCTTTCAAGAAAAAGGATAAAGCAACTTGTTAAAGCAGAGACATGCTGATCAGTGACCAGAAGGTACATACAAACAACAATATATAGGTCAAGTGACTTCAGAGCCCATAGAGTCAAACAAAACATGCCTCGAGGGATTTCTTTTTCAATTGAAGACTGCATCCATTCACTCCATTTGGGTCTCTGAGCAGCTGAGACACATTAGCGTTATTAACCCACAAAGTCTTTCATTCGTCTCATAGCACAAGCAAACATAAGAGTGGAAAGGACGCTTCGTATTCACATAAAAAAATCAGGAATAAAAGGAATAAATAGACTTCTAGTGATATAAGGGTACCAGGATTCTACAGCTCAGATTCAACAAAGGTTTTGGTTTTGCCTCTCAAATGGGCAAATTAGAATATCACGCTATTCACTAACAATTTGCAGCTGGAAGCGAGGGGTTTCATAGAGCTGGAAGGGGAAAATGAAAGAAAACAACAGGCATAGTGCGCTCGTGTCAGTGATGCATGTTTAAATCTGTTTTGAACACTCGGTAATGACTCGGAGGTGGAGGTGGTTTTCAGTTCATGCTGCTACATCGTCTCTCTCAAACACGGAAGCTAAAACAAGATCTTTTGAAAAAGAAAATCTATGAAAAAGAACTGTGGTTGGGTAATTCACACTAGCTGATTGTGTGTTACCATGTTCAGAGGATGAGCTCATTGAAGCTGCTGTGTTGTTGTTTATTAAACCTGCTGAATGATCGCTGTGCCCTGTTGGAGTTTATTTGGACTTGAAATGCAAAATGTTCTCCTTGGATAAGACCAAAGTATGTGCCGAACGCTTTTTATTTTATTTTTATTTTTTTAAATAAAGAAATTAGAGGGATTTTGCAGTTGAAACACAATCTCCGTCACGATCTCTGAACACATCAGAGCCTGCATGTTTTGAGGACAACGCCTGGTAGAAAGCAGGAAACGCCGTCTTGGCATGTTGCTAGGCGATGCATTAATATTAATGTTGTCTTATTTTTTATTTTTTTTCAGAGCGTGTGCACTCTCTGCCCCCCTTTGGGATAAACTGAAGCTTAAAGATATCTCCATCTCACTGATACTCCTTTTATCCTTCGTTAAACCTCATATCAAGGGTTTTAATTACGTTCTGCAAATGTGATGCTGCAGAGCTTTGTTGAGGATCACAATTGTCTTCTTGCTTCCTGGTTTGCAGCGCTTGCCTGGCTTATTTTTGACTTGAGTCTTTGATAAAATAGATATGTGTTTTTATCTGGTCTTGTCTTGTTTGAACATGTAAATGTTTTAGTTTATCATGGTCTCACATTAAAATTAAAGGTTGTTTTACTGGAGTTTAATCACAATTGCATCTGATTCTCACCAAATCTTCAATAATTTCTATCAGAGAAGGAACTGTAAAGCCAAAGCATCCTGCCCGCTCTGTTTTCATCATATCTTTTCCATTAAAAAATCATTTTGAACACAAGAAATCAATCTATTATAGAGCTGGCCCTCTGCCTCACCCTTTCCCCTGCCGGGCTTTTAGCCTGGAGTCTTTGTCGCAGCCTCCCTTCACCTCTCAGCTGCCCTCTTTGAAAAACCATTTTGCTGGCACTGAAACACAGATGTTATCCATCTGATTAAACGTTCAAGGTTACATCTCCAAATACATCAAAGTCTACTTCTCCCAAAAGAGGAAGCGTGACAGCCAATATTTTGGTAGCCTGGAGGTGTAAGCTCTAGTGTCCCCATCATTTTTTTTTTTTTTTTTTTTGGAAATTGGTGTTCCCGCTTAAATTACAAAGTGTTATGGTGATGGAGACTCCAGCAGTAGGTGGGATAAATGGTCCTGAAGGGATCTATCATGGCTTGTCAATACATGAAGTCAGGGAAAGGGTTCGTTAACAAGGAGTTATAGGGTTAATAAAACCTGAAATACTGCCAGGAATGGGATTCTATCAAAACAAAGACAGGTTTTATGATAATTGTTTAACTGTTAGTAAGTTTGTCAAGATAATAAAACTCATGGTGCTTTGTTTTACGTCACTGTAAAGGTGATATATTTTGTGTTCAGAAAAAAAGGCTCTTTATGGATGTCTGGGGTAAATTGACCGAGCATTTAGAATTTTTCAATACATTTTATAGACCAGCAGTTTAAATTTAATAGAGGCGCTGACTGGTTTGCATGTCCCATGTACAGAGGCTGTAGTCTTTAAAGAGGGCGACCAAGGTTCAAATCCGACCCTAGGCTCCTTTCTCACGTCATTCCCTACGCTCTCTCTCTCTCTCTGATTTCTGACTCTATCCACTGTCCTGTCCCTCTATGATTTAAAAAATGATTTAACACATCGGAGAATCTGCTTATTGCCTCCATGATCTCATCTTATTTTAGATGACAAATTAATCACTGTTGTTACATAATTGTGCTCGATGCTTTTCAATACCACAAGTTTTAGAATGATACAGTGTTTGTGATTTTAATCATCGTTGGTGTCAAAAAGTGCCAAAGCTTAAAAAAAACCCCTCAGATTTAAAGTCATTTTTTAAACATAATGGGTATATTTTTTGTTCAGTTAAGACAGTGTGCAGGAGTTTTCTTGCATTTTGAGGTAATCCAAACAAGAAAAAACACAGTCCTGGGTGCCTAGGTCTTGCATTTTTGAAACTGTGGTATTAATTTTGTTTGGTTTTGTACAGTAACCGTACCACAGTTTTTAAGTGGAATACAGGGATGCAGGAAACATGTTTTTACTAATGATTAAACTTCCAATTATTTGTACGGTTTCTATTTACATACTTATATTACTTTACCCAATTCAAGCCAATGCCGATGTCATGTCTGTGCTTATATAGTTCAGAAATCAGTCAGGAAAACATCCAGCCTTGTTCTGTTCAGAAATAAAAAGGCCTATCAGCATCCCTTAAGGCCATGGATTAAAAGGACGTTTTTATATGTTGTAAACCTTTGCAAGAACAGAACTGTTAAATGAAAATGTCTCGGTTTACACTGAGTTATGTGCTGTAGCTATCTGCTGCTGAAGAGGAGCTGCAGGAAGTGTATGCAGACTATCTCTAGTCACTGTGAACTTATCATGTCAGGTATCATTGTTAACATACTGATTTAAAAAAAAAAAAAAAAAAAAAAATTGCAGATAGAAAATACGCTATGTGTGAACAATACAGAACATTACTGGGTCAATGGAAAACCTTTTTCTTTGAAGAAATCGTTTCATCACATTAGTCTTCATATTACTGCGTTGTACTGACTGACCAACAGTCTTTATGCTAAGCTAGGCTAACAGCATCCTGCCTCCAGCTCTGCTCTTAAAGTCAAAGAAGTGAGAGTTAATATTGATGTTCCTATCCCTCCATTGAAAAGAAAGCAAATAAGCATCACAAGTTCCTCCTGAAATAATGAAATATTCCGTCATATGAAAATAAAGATCAGTTTTTATCCGCTCGATTCATTTTACAGGCTTGTTGTTTATTTGCTATTTCCTACTGTCAACACCGACTGATTCCTTTTCTCTCTCCCTCCTCTCTAGAGATCGAGAAAATTCAGAAAGATGAGGGGAAGGAAGAGGGGAAGGAAGAGGAGAAGTTCATCGACGTCGTCATTAACAAGAACATGAAACTGGGCCAGAAAGTTTTGATACCAGTCAAGCAGTTTCCTAAAGTAAGTGCTATCCTTAACACCACCAGAGACTTCTGTGAGAATGTGATGTGCACGGATAGAGAATTTTAGATGGTGTTATTTATAGATAATGAAGCCGACTACAGTAGCTCTGCTTTTGATTTAAATTTCTTACAACAGCCACTTGACACATTTTGTTGATGCTTTATGTTATTAGATGTAGCATATTTTCGAGGACAGCATGCAGGTATGCAGCATGTCGGCTGACAGAACTGGGGTAGAACTATATTAGGGATGTTACCTACTGAAGAATTGTTTGAGCTCTTAATGTTACAACTGTAATCCTCCCACTCCTCCCTCATACACACACCTCTCTATTACACTGACCTTGCTCAATGACGCTCTGAAGTCTCGCTATATTAATTTGTCAATGAATATTTATGAATATATGATTCAGAGGAATTATCTCGCAGTGGGTTTCATTTTCTTGAGTGTGCGGTGGATTTCTTATAATACACCTCTAGGTTTTTTTTTTTTTTTTTCAAGTTCAAGAAGTCTACTTTTCATGGAAAATAATATCTTTCGAGGGTGAGAGTACGACTGCAAAGCAGCACATAAGTCACATGTTCAGAGTCCTAGACAGTCGGCTTCACTGTGACCTCCACATGAAGCGGTTTTGAGTGATAACACTGTCGCCACCTTTGAGAGCACTTCAGCGTCGTCCGCCGCGAGGAGCCTAAGCCCAGCTGCAGCATTTATGGAGCCACCCACTTGCTGCATGACAGGGATTTCCCGCTGGGAGCACGACAGGGAGGTTGGTGTAAAAGTGAGAGGGACCGCTCTTAGATGGGACATCACTCAAGTTTTCACCTCGGCCCTCCGGAGGGAAGGGCAGCGGCAACCTGCGGTGTGTGGATGGGGAGGACAGCAGGGAGGAGACGCAGCAGTCAGGAGTCAAAACCATGAACAAACAAAGCTGACGAAACATGCTGTCTCTGCTCAATATTGTTAGAATTTTGATGTCATGCACTGTTAAATAATATTGAATAAGATCTGCAACTTTAGTTTATGCAACACTTCATGGTAACTTTGAAGACTCACAACACAATGTGTCAGACAACAGACTCTGTTAACACTTTTAAAATTAGATTAGCTGTCTCTGAAAAATATTAACTTGTGAGCACATTCTTTGTATGAGGAGAAACGAAACACTTTATTTTTAATGCAGAAAAATCACCAGACACCCTGTTTACATATTTAAAATTAGCAATTAGCACCAAACATTAACTATAGCTGAGGCTGAAGTTTAGCCTGTCAGGTGTTTTGTTACAAAACAAAGTAGTTAATGAACTAAAATCTTTGATCTAATGAAGTCCTTTGTATAGAGGTGCGAGAATAACTCAAGTTTCAACTTGACATATTACAAAGTTTTAGGCGCTGATGGCCTAGCGGATAGATCATGCCCTGTGTGGAGGTTGTTGTCCTCGAAGCTGGTGGCACGGGTTTGTCTGACCTGCAGCCCCTTTCTCGCATGTCCATCCCCACCCCCTTTCTCCTGATTTTTTACTCTTTCCACTGTCCTATCAAAAAAAGCTACCCCCCCAAAAAAATAAATAAATAAGAAAAACTGTCAAATTCCATAGTAATGGTATTATTTTAATATTATACACAGTGTTCAAATCTTGCTAGTTAAAGTTTCCTCTTTTTCTTTTTTTATTACTATAATTAAATGAGTCAAATTTAGCTTTAAATAAAAACTCCCCTAATTTTCTTTTTTTTACACCTCACCAGATTTAAACTTGTTACAAATTTTCCCTGTAACCTGCTTTGAAGAATTTGTTTTTCGGGCTGCCAATGTTTTGTGCACATTTCTTTGACACATACTTCCACCAAAGTTACAAAACAGTAACTCTAATTATTTGATCAAATACATTTTTCTTGCACTTTTAAGTGTACTTCATACATGCTTCAGAAACTGCAACTCTTCAAAAAAATCTAAGATTTAAAGTACACTAGAACTTCCTAAACTTTGAGAAAGAGAGTAATTACTCCCACCAGGAGTTAACTTACACTGATAAAAAGCTAAATGTACATATTTACTATTAATTAGTACTAAAGACTATATATGTGGTGTCATCTGGAGGCTGATAGAAGTCTCCCAGGTTCACAGCTTAACAGATTTGCTTTGACAGCTTTGATAAGTAGAGCCACTAATACGCTGTTTAGAGCGCCAACAAGCCACCGAAGGAAGACAAATTCAATTTGTTCCAAGTGACAGGCAGCAATGGCAAGAGTGATCGGTCTGACTTCAATGGGTTTTCTCCTGAGCTGCGAGCATCACCTCTTGGCTTCTGGCATTGAAGTGGTACAGACATTTTTCCAAATAGCCATTTAGGAACGGCACACGTGGAGAGGTTAAATCCATCCTCCACAAACATAGCTTTTTATCAAAATGAAACGGGGTGGGGGAAAAAAAAGACGCCACACTGCAAGTTCCAGACTGCTGATACCCTGTGATAAAAATGGAGCTGTTCCCCAGCCGTGATTCGTTAAACCCAACTCTGATGAATTTTTAGACTTTCCAAGATATTGGCAGGAGTGATGATACGCTGGTGTTGGATGGTGTTCTTTTGTTGTGTAATGGACACATTGATGCTGCACACAGAGCTGTCCTTAAAAACAAGACCATGTTTAACTAAAACCTAGTCGGTATAGAAATATAATCTAAGAATATACATCAAGATGTAAGCAGTGTGACACACAATGGCACTCCTACTCAGGGTCTAAAAATACCCCACCTTTTGAACAAGGATGCACTATCAGCACTCATCAGTACAATTCTCCAGATCCGTTGGCCCTCTATTGGAGAGCATTCTTTTGGCAGAAAGCACCGCAGGCCATTAGCGAGGCGTAAGGAGTCCCACTGGTTTATTTCCAGTTCAGACTGTGGCTTTTCTCTGCGCTGGGAGCGGTGATTTATCCTGCTGCTGTCGTTCCTGTCCTGCTGTCCTCAGCACAATCACTCGGCGCTGGTTCTTTGTAAGCATACCTCTCGCCAGGTTCCCAGTATTACATTCAGCAAATGATGAAAAAAAATCTCAGATGCAAGCCCCCCCCCCTTCCCTCCCTTCCTCCCCCTCCCTCTCTGAACCGCCTTCAAAGTAAGTGTGATTAATCATACTGCCTTTCTCTACTCACATTGGCTGTCTTTCTAATCATCCACATGCTTGTTATGTATCAGCTGAACACAGTGAATGAAAAGAAAATCTTTTATATGTTTTCAGTCAATTGCTCTTTCTCTCGTACTCAATTTGTATTTTATAGTTTTGTGGGACTGACACCATAACAGAGCAGCTAGAGACGACCTGTGATTAAACACATCAGCTTTTATTCTGGTGATTACAGAAGCAGCAGCACAATCCTCTCACACAGTCTAATGACATGAACCAGTACGGGAGCCCAGGCAGGTTTTTGTAAGTCACATAATCCCTCATGATAACTAAAGCATTAGCTAAAGCCCAAAGCATCCATCACAGTGGCAGTCAGATGGATTTTGATTTCTGATAAACAGAAGGGATTACATTTATGTGTTCACTAAGACTTAGAGGATTGTCCATACGAGGAGACGCGTGTGCCTCTGCAAACGTATCGACTCGGTTCTGATGTGTTGAAATGTCGAGATTAAGACTTCTGTCTGACATTTACTGGCATTAGTCAGACAAATATAAAGCAAATCTGCATGATCTCTGTTTAAATAGTCAGGAACTTAAAATAGTGCCAAACAAATACCATTACACCATGTCAATATATTCTCTATAATACTGTCTGAAGTGACTCCAGAGAATGCGTGCTGGGTAAAAATGTATTCCCATGGCTGGATTAATCTGCTACAGAGCCTATCAATTATTAACCCTCTGTTTCGTTCCTTCGCTGTCCATTATGTACAGTATTGTTATACTAAAATGAAACTACTGTGTGATGACTTTTTATTAAATTAGTTAAGAAAATCTTTAAGGACATTGAGGTTTTTGTATATTTCTATAATAATGAAGGTCTTAAATTGATCTTATAAAATACTTCATGCATGGATAAATTTGTTTATAATGAATGAACCCCTTAATAAAAGCAGTGTGTTGTTGAAATGCTTTTAAAAATATCCTTATTATACAAAGAGAAAACTCCAGTGACAGAATTACAGCCAAATTGAAACTCTTACTTGGTAAACTACATAACATACAAGTAAACTGAATAAAACACAAATATATGCACATATAACATGACCAATATGTACAATATCTACTGTATTAAATCATAAAACTATATCGTTAGACATAAGGAAACTTGCTATGTTGAAGTGCTGGCTTCTCTGACTACAATGTATGTCGTCATAAGTTTTTGAGAAGTTGGTGGTTTTAAAGCACCCCCACACGGCCCTTTTACCCTTCCCCCCTCATGTTACCAGGCAAACAGCAAACCAACAGGTGTTGCAGTGATGGAGGCGGGCAAGTGACCTGGTTTAGATACAACTGATTCTACTCGACCTAAAAAGCCTCAACATTTTTTCTAAAGAAACATGGTAACGAGGATAAATATCGGAGATTGGAGTTTTTTGTACAATAGAGAACGATTTGAATGCAGACAGGTTTCAAGATCAATGCGACTGGCTAAACAAGCTTCCGTGTTCTCGTGTTGCTCCTTGACTTAGTTACATATTGCTCCTCTAAATATTAAAAGATGAAAAGTCAAATGGAAATTGTTACATGCAATGATTATTTACATTAACAGATAAACACTGAGCTGAATTAAAAGCAGTGCTAAAGGACTTCAGTTAGCTTTTAAACTTATAAGGAAAGTTGTAAATTTCCTCTTCAATGACAACTTTAAAGAACCAAAAAATAAAAATTACAATAGCTTCTGTATTATAATTACATGTTTGTAGGCTTGTGATTAAACCCTTACAGCACTTGGCTTTAAGGTCAGAGAGACATTTGGATTTGAGAGCTGCAATGGACTGGAAAAACACAGTAGTTTGCACCATTATT